TCAGGTCGTGACCCCAGGGTCCTGGGATCGAGTCCCACATCAGGCTCCCTGCTCAGCGGGGAGTCTGCTTCTCCCTCTGACCTTCCCCCCTCTCATGCTCTCTCTCTCTCAAATAAATAAATAAAATCTTTAAAAAAATGTTCAAGTTTTTAATCTGGTAATATGGATTGCTACCTGTATACCCATCCAGACATTATGGCCCTAATTCAGGAGATACATACACACTCACAGTCACGTGCACACATGCACGAGCGTATGGACACACACACACACACACACACACAGAGAGGCAGAAGCAGAATCTGTATTCCATTAACATGCCTTGGACATTTCTCCTTGCACCTTTGTCTTCTCCATCTTGCCTGCCAGAAGCTCTGCTCAGGGGTTATAAACTCCTTGCTAAGGGCCAGGGTAACATAAATATGTTACAGTTGAGCATATGATGCTAAATGGTGGACTGGGTGATTTGGAGCAGCTTGCTGTCCATCCTAAGAAGGTAGTCACCACCCCACTCCATTTGTTGCCCTACTGGTTTCCTACTGCTGTGGTAACAAAGTGCTACAGACTTAGTAGCTTAAAACAACACAAATTTATTATCATATAGTTCTGGAGATCAGAAGTCCAAAAGAGGTCTTATGGGGATTACAATACTATGATTTATAAGAAAAATATTTATGTAGTTATTCAGATGACCAAAATATATTCCTCATATATATTCGGTCTTTGTCTAGGATTCCTGGCTCACAGCTGCTGAAACCCTTGGAATTTCGTAAGTATTGAGAGTGATAAAGATATCTTTTGTTATGCTAATGACACAAGCACCTAAGGTTTGGAAAGCACCTAACGTTGGGGGCTGGTTGCCAGTAGAACCAACCAAGTGTTAGAGGGTTGGGACTTTCAGTCCCTTCTTCACCTCCAGAGAGGGGAGAGGGGCTGGAGAGTGAATGCAAACACCAATGGTCAATGATTCAACAACCATGCCTATGTAATGAGCCTCCATAGAAACCCAAAAGAATGGGGTTTAGAGAGTTTCTAGGTTGGTGAACATGTGGAAATACTGGGAGAGTGGCATGCCTGGAAAGGGCATAGAAACTCCTTGTCCTTTCCCCACACCTTGCCCTATGCATCTCTTCCATCTGGCCATTCCTGATTTATATCCTTTTATAATAAACCAATGATACAGTAAGTGAAACATCTGAGTGCTGTCAGCCACTCTAGAAAATTAATCAAACCCAAGAGGAGAACATGGGAACCTCTAACTTATAGCCAGTTGGTCCGAAGCCCAGGGAACAACAGGGGTGCTGGAGAGGCAGTCGTATAGGACAGTACCCTCAGCTTGTGGAATCTGATGCTATCTCTAGTAGATAGTGGCAGAATTGAGTTAAACTCTTAAGACACCCTGCAGGTGTCTGAGCATTGTTTGGTGGTGTATGGGGAAGCCCTCCCCACCCCATCCCCCGTTGGAATTAATACCAGAACCTATTTAGGTATAAATAAACTCAAGGGGTTGGCAGGGTTGCCTTCCTTCTAGAGATTCTAGAGGAGAGTCTGTTCCTTGCCTTTTCCTTCTTCTAGGGACTGCTCATATTTCTTGACTCATGGCTTCCTTCCATCTTGAAAGCCAATAATGACATCACTTTGACCTCTGCTTCTGACCTCTTCTTCCTTGACTCTGGCTCTCCTGTCTCCTTCTTCCACTTATAAAGGCTTTTGTGATTATATTGGCCCACCCAGAAAATGTAGAAGAACCTCACCTCAAGATCTTTACCTTAGTCATATCTGCAATCTTCTGCCATGTAAGGTAACATAGTCAGAGGGTCCAGGGATTAAAATGTGGACATCTTTGGGGGACTATTAACTCTGCCTATCACAGTTGCTAAATGGGAATGCAGGCCTGATATAGCCAGATCTTCCAATTCTTTTCAAGATAAGCTAGAAATCTGGATTTTTATATGACTGTGCAAAAAGAGTTAACACAGCAGGTTGAGACTGCTCCTTAGAAAGGTCTGCTTGTAAGATCGGCCCTTGGCTGGCATCTGAGAACTTGGCTTTTAGAGTGTTTTCAAGTCAATGGTTAAAGGATCAGGATGATTTGTTGTGCCTAGACTGTGTGTGTAAAGAATGTGGTTTATGCTGTAGGGGTGCCTGGGTGGCTCAGTTGGTTAAGTGTCTGACTCTTGATTTCAGCTCAGGTCATGTTCTCAGGGTTATGAGATTGAGCCCCGCATTAGCATTAGCGTGGAGCCTGCTTACAATTCTCTCTCTCCCTTTCTCTCTGCCCCTCCCCCCTCAAATAAATGAATAAATAAATCAATAAATTTTTTTTTTTTTTAAAGAATATGGTTTATGCTGAACAGCTGCTTTTCTTCTAGGAGTCTGGAATTTGGGTATGTGCAAGGCAGAGGTGTCTATGTGACCAGCCCTCACCATAAACCTTAGGTGCTGAGTCTCTAACAGGCTTCCTTGGGCAGAACCACTGCAGGGAAATGTTGCTCCATTTTCATTTTGGAGGAAGAGAATGCTGTGTGAGCCCTCCTGGGAGGGAGAGGACATAGATTCTGCTTGTGTCTTTTCCCTTTATGATCCAGCTGTGCAGCCTTCCTACATCACTGTAATAAACCTTAGCTAGGGGGTTATTTATTAACTTTATGCTGAGTCCTTCTAGTAAATCTCCTGACATGGGGGTGGTCTTGGGGATGCTCCAGCACAAAGGTAGTTCCTGCTTTTTTTCATATTCTAAACGCTGTGGGGATGAACACTGTGAAGGTCAAACAAAACAATTCTGAGAGGGAACTTGGTCTCCAGGCTGCCAATTTGCAGCTTCTGGCTTCTTAGAGTTCTATCCTAATTTTATTCCCATCTCTGAAGTGAAACAATTCTTCTGACACACATTTAGCAAATGCTTACTATCTGCTGAGCACTATGCTAGGATCTAGGGACACAGAGATGAATAAGATCCAATCTTTACCTGGAATGAGTTTGCAATTTCTAAGACGGACCTGTACACAAATAACTGCAGCCTGGTGTGCTAGCGCGCTAAAGAAGACGAATAAGATGCTCTAAGAATCCATGCAGCTGCTTACGTGGTGCTTTGCTATGTACACATCCCTACATTCATCTGGTCCTCACAATCTGAAGTTATCCCTATTTCACAAAGGAAGAACCTGAACCTGAAGGTCAAAGGAGTTTAGGGTTTTGCCTGAGAGAGCTCAGGTCTTTTACCATACTCATTCTGCTGAGATTGGGGATGCACAAGGGAAAAAGGAGGGCCCGGGAAGGTCTGCAAGAGACCATATGTTCTGTTATCACCAAGGGTCCTTGCTCTGTAGAGAACATGACCCCACTTCCCAAAGCAGCCTCACTATATGCCCTTGCCACTTTCCATTTTTATGAAAGAGTCTTGTTCTCCCAACCATGTGGCAAGTGCATAGGGAAGAGAGACCTTGTCATGCTTCACTGTGTTCCTTTCCATGCCTTGCCCAAGTAAGGTGTCAATTAGCTATTCTGTTGGTAGGAAGTTGCCATTGCCATTATTTTAGCCTACTGTGCTGTCAGACCGCTCTGGTCCTAGGAAACACTATGGTAGGAGAGGCAGGTGAATTTTTTCCAAGGGACCGGCCTGGGAGACAGGTTTCTTCAGGGCATGCCGATGGGTACATGGGGCACTTCCTGATGATTTCCCCAGTGAAGGGAGATAGCTAGAAAATGTAAGGTATGTAAGGGAAAGCAGAAGTAGATGGATAAGGGGCACCTGGACGGCTCAGTCGATTAAGCAGCTGCCTTCCGCTGGGGTCATACAGGGAACCTGTATGGGTCTCCCTGCTCAGCGGGGAGTCTGCTTCTCCCTCTGTGCTCTCTCTCCCTCTCCCGCTCTCTCTCTCTCAAATAAATAAATAAATAAATAAATAAAATCTTAAAAAAAAAAGTAGATGGAAAAGGCCATTCTTGAAAGAAATGGAAATGAAATGTGGAAAGAAGGAGTAACTGCTGTTGAGGCCTCCGCCTGAGCGCCAAGGGCGTTAAGACGCCGGTCGCAGATCCCGGCGGGGAACAGGAGAAGATGAGAAAGTCAAAACTCAGCTATGACACCAGAATCTCCACTTTTTTTCCTCATCAGAGTCAACACACATTTTGATACCTCACAACAATGCAGACAATGTGGAATCACTGTCTCCTTTTCACCGATGAATATGCCAAGGACACAGTAAGGTTAGGTCACCTGCCCAAGGTCACATACGGCAGTCCGGATGCGAATCCGGGTCCCGAGGGCTTCCGCCCAGAGCTCTGGCGGTTCTGGCAGCAGGGAAGCGGGCAGGTGGCGGTGGCGAGGGCTCGCTAATAGTGACGGCGTTGATGACGGGGCCACTGACCCGCGCGCAGCCGGCGAGCCGCGCCAGATTCCTGGGGTCGGCCCTCGCAGACAGGCTGCCCGGCTCGGCTCTGTGGGGTACTCTGAGGGATCGGCACCCTGGGGCTCAGACTGTGCAGCTCCTGGTCCTCGGCCGCCCACAGGCATTGGCGAAGGCCAGCCGTCCCGGCCGAGGACCAGCAGGCCGTGTGTCGCTGTAAGGGGTTCCCCCGGAACTGGCCAGAGCCTCCAGGGAGGCAGGGCGGGGAGGGGGGCACGGGCGAAGGCCCACTGCTGCCACTTCCCAAGGACAGCCTCTACAGCCCTCGGCCTAAGTCAGAACACTTGGGCGATGGGCGCCCCCAAGACTCAGGTGCAGGCGAGATGCGCCCTGGCACCGCGCCCTGCGCCCCTGCAGTGGAGATCGGGAGCCCAGGGTGTCGGCTCAAAACCTGGAGCGAAGGGCTAAGGTCGGGATCGCTACGCCTAACCCAAATCCGACAGGTGAGAGGCCAGGACCGGGCAGGGGGAGGGGACCCGCCCTCACCCCACCCCTCGGGGGCCGCCTACCATTCGGGGGCGTGGCCTCCGGGCCGCTCAGCCCCTAGTGGGCGAGCGCAGCGCGCGGGCCCCGCCCCCTGCCTATAAGAGCGGTGCGGCACTGCAGCTAGCGCAGTTCTCACTGAGACCCGTCACCCGGACTCTACGTGAGACCCACCGCCCGGACTCACCATGGTGAGTGCGGCTCCGCGGGGATCGCGCCCCCACCCTTATTACCCTTCTCCTTCGGGACCCTCCATCCCGGGATGCTCCGGACCCTCCATCCGACGTTCCGGGTCTTGAGGAGGTGCGAGGGTTTGTGCATTCCCCCACCCCCACTCTGTTCTGGTGACTTTGGCCGAGCCGTGCTGTCCACTTTTGGAGGCTGGGGAAGGGGAATGGAGTGGGGTGGGATTCTTCGCTAGCTGAGAGGAGTCCTTCTGGAAATCGCTTCCTGCTCCGCCAAGCATTTGTGCCCTAACCCTCCTGAAGGGGAGTCGTGATCCCGCGCCCAGTCCTTTCCGCGGATGAGGGAGACCCGCTGGGCTGCCCTCCGCCCCTAGCCTCCCCCCCACCCGGATCCCCGCTCCCTGGATCTGACCGAACACGTGCTTAGCCCAAGAAGGTGGTAGGGGGTCAGATTACTTGGTCCAGCATCCCCTTTTCCTCTAACTGTGTGTGCATCCCTCCTACCCACAGCTCCCCCCCCCGGTGACTCAGCACACCGCTTCTGAGCCGGGAAGGGTGGCGGGAATGGGGTTCTGCGTTGTGAGGCGAGCCGTTCCCTCTCCAGCCGGAGCCGAGTGAACGGACGGGCAGAGACAGCTGGCGCTGAGCGAGAGCGCGGGCCCAGGCCAGGTTGGGGGGAGGGGAAAGAGGTGTGTGTAGGGGGGTGGTATTTATAGCCCAGGAACCGGGGCCGAAATCCAATCTTCACTTTCGGCTGGGATGTAACTGGAAAGAATCTAGAAGGGGGGCGAATGCAGGGCCCGGGTGCAGGATGGCGCTCACCCTCTGCAGGGCAAGGCGGGTTACCTCTGGGGCCTCACCGCAGGTTCCGCTTCCTTTTCTGGGTATTTGGAAACCGTCACCCCGCCATTTCGGTGTTGGGAAGGGAGGCTGCGCGGGGCCCTGCGCCGCACCACTTTGGCTCTTTAGGGGTTAATTTCAGACTGGCAGGGATGAGCCTAAGGCTGCGAGTGCCCCAGTGCCCACAGCCCTTATTGCCTGTGCCTGCCATCTGCATTCTCTGCTATTTCCGTGAGGGCTGCACGGTGGATGAAGGTGGTGAAGACACCCAGAGTGCAGGGGTGGAGGTGGGGAGAGGAGCCAGCTGGGATTGATCCCCAGAGCCAGATGGGATTTAAAGGTGGGGGAGAGGGCATCCTGATGGTCAGGGTGTGTGGTCAATTGATGCCAGGCCAGAAGGCTGAGACATCTCTCTTCTTTCCTGTGGGAAAGAAAGAGGGAGAGGGTTCTAAGAAATTCTAGTTGTTCCCCTTGAGGGCTTCTGGCTATAAACTCATGCCTCTGGAAAACCTGTCCCTTCTCAGGCTGGAGAAGGTGGCTTTGGGAGTAGAAAGCTGGAAACAGCTGAGAAGGTGCGTGTCCTTGTCTGTTACTGCAGTGTCTGCCTGTCTTTCATATACACTTGCCCTCTCTGTCCTCCCTGAGTGTCTTGTCAGCGTGGCAGAGTCATGTGGAGCCACAGCTCTTACTTGACAAGGTCCCCACAGAGAAGTGGGCTAAGGGATTTGCCCTACTGGGTGGGTGTTTCCAGTTGTTAAGTCCTATGCGGGGGAGCCTGGGCAGGCTACCAGCCTCTTCCGACCTCTGCCCAGCCCCACACCTCCACTTTCGCCAACTGAATCATCCTAGCCGGTAGGTGATAGGGTGGAAGAGAGGCTCATGAGGTGAGGACTGCAGATGTGGGGCTTATGCTGTGTCGCCTCTCTTTATCCCTCAGCGCGAATGCATCTCAGTCCATGTGGGGCAGGCAGGTGTCCAGATGGGCAATGCCTGTTGGGAGCTCTACTGTCTGGAACATGGGATCCAGCCTGATGGGCAGATGCCCAGCGACAAGACCATCGGTGGAGGGGATGACTCCTTCACCACCTTCTTCTGTGAAACCGGTGCTGGGAAGCATGTGCCCCGGGCTGTGTTTGTGGATCTGGAGCCCACTGTGATTGGTGAGATGAAGATGGGGTGGAATTGAGGGGAGCAGACAGTGACTCTAAGCTTCTCTCTGGAGAGCTGGTGTCTAGACCTGGCTTTCCTGGTCCTACAGACTCTTTGCCCTGTTTGCAGCTGAAGAAGGGAGGCCGATCGCAGGCTAGCCTGGGTGGCGGGCTCCGGGTTTCTCACACACTGGTATCACAGGCTGGCAGAAGGATGAGCTTTTCCATACATCTGACCGCAGCTGCTACACTGGGGGAGGGAGATCCCTGCTGAGCACAGCCTTGTGGTTTGTGCCCTAATGATGTGTTTGTGCCCTTCCAGATGAGATCCGAAATGGCCCATACCGGCAGCTCTTCCACCCAGAACAGCTCATCACCGGGAAGGAGGATGCTGCTAACAACTATGCCCGTGGTCACTATACCATCGGCAAGGAGATCATCGACCCAGTACTGGACCGGATCCGCAAGCTGGTGAGAATTTGGGATGGAAGGGAGGGGGCTTTTGAGATGATGCTAATGGTCAGGAACATAGTTTTGTCAGGATCCATTTTGGGGGGGTCATCTCTAATTTTATGTGTTCCAGAGCATGCTGCCACTATAAGATACTTTCTAGTCTTTGAGTCCTGAAAGAGTTTAGGCTTTTGTGGAGCCAGAAGGTAGAGTTTCTCAGGCCCCTGGCCTACCTACACTGCTCTTTCTCTTTCCTGCCTTTCAGTCTGACCAGTGCACGGGACTCCAGGGCTTCCTGGTGTTCCACAGCTTCGGAGGGGGCACCGGCTCGGGCTTCACCTCACTCCTGATGGAGCGGCTCTCCGTTGACTACGGCAAGAAATCCAAGCTGGAGTTCTCCATCTACCCCGCCCCCCAGGTGTCCACAGCCGTGGTGGAGCCCTACAACTCCATCCTGACCACCCACACCACCCTGGAGCACTCGGACTGTGCCTTCATGGTAGACAACGAGGCCATCTATGACATCTGCCGCCGCAACCTGGACATCGAGCGCCCCACCTACACCAACCTCAACCGGCTCATCAGCCAGATCGTGTCCTCCATCACGGCCTCCCTGCGCTTCGACGGGGCCCTCAACGTGGACCTGACGGAGTTCCAGACCAACCTGGTGCCCTACCCCCGCATCCACTTCCCCCTGGCCACCTACGCGCCAGTCATCTCTGCGGAGAAGGCCTACCACGAGCAGCTGTCGGTGGCCGAGATCACCAACGCCTGCTTCGAGCCCGCCAACCAGATGGTGAAGTGTGACCCCCGTCACGGCAAGTACATGGCCTGCTGCCTGCTGTACCGGGGCGACGTGGTGCCCAAGGACGTCAACGCCGCCATCGCCGCCATCAAGACCAAGCGCAGTATTCAGTTTGTGGACTGGTGCCCCACGGGCTTCAAGGTTGGGATCAACTACCAGCCCCCCACCGTGGTGCCCGGGGGCGACCTGGCCAAGGTGCAGCGCGCCGTGTGCATGCTGAGCAACACGACCGCCATCGCCGAGGCCTGGGCCCGCCTGGACCACAAGTTCGACCTGATGTATGCCAAGAGGGCCTTTGTGCACTGGTACGTGGGCGAGGGCATGGAGGAGGGGGAGTTCTCGGAGGCCCGGGAGGATATGGCGGCCCTGGAGAAGGATTACGAGGAGGTGGGCATCGACTCCTATGAGGACGAGGATGAGGGAGAAGAATAGAACAGCTGCCTGGAGCCCACTCACTATGTTTATTGCAAAATCCTTTCGAAATAAACAGTCTCCTTGCACGGTTTCTTGTCCCCTCTGTGAGTGCTTGAGCCTCTGCTGCCTTCCCATCTGTGCTGTGGCCGCCCGCTGCTTCTGCTGCTGCCCTCATTCTTTGCTGCCTATGACCCTTTTCCCTTCTGTGGCTGAAAGTGAGACCTGCCAAGGGGTCCTTGCCAGGCCTGAGGAAATGTGACCCCGGGGACCTTGATGTAAGACCCCGGGGGCGCCCAGGATGGTAGAGAGGAAATGAGGACTAACTCCCGGACCTGTCTGTCCAGCCACAAGCTGTTGAAAGATACAAGTTTTCACTTCCTTGCCAAAGTAGGAGTTTAAGTCTAGCAGTTTCTGTATTTGAGTTAGACTGTTATCCTATTCTTCCTGCTGCTTCTGCATTCACCGACTCTGGAAGCTTGGCCCAGGCACCTCTGTGCGTGATGAGGGCCTGGGAGCGGGGCCGGGCTGGCCCTCAGTTCCTGGGCATAGAGCCTAGTCATGAGCTTGGGGGATGGGAGGGGACAAGGGCAAGCTCCTAGAGTTGTTTGTGTCACTGCACCTCCGAGCAGCTTCGCACAGCTGTCTCTCTTGCTGCATTGCTGGGGCCTAGGACTGTACCATTAAAAGTCAGGTCGTCTCCCCTCTGCTTGTTCTTTTTTTCTGGCCTCAGCCTCTAAGCTAGCCAGGGGAGCCTCCCACCAGGGCCCTGGGGAAAATTCCAACATTGCTAATAGGCACCCCAGGACCCACATCGACATCAGCACATGGGGGTGAGCCTGGTTGGGGAAGGGGGGCAGGGGATGAAGCTTCAATCTCCGGAGCAGAAGATGTCAGCCCTGCCCTTCCCCCCCCCTCCCTGGTGATTCAGGGACGCAGTGCCCTTCCCTAGGGAACAGGTCTCAAGCCCGGCAAAGGCAGGGCCCCTGTTTACTCAGCAGAGTAGGGCAGGAAAGTGGCAGCTGGATACTGCCACACCACACTGGCCTCATTAATCATTAACCATGTGTGAGCTAGAACCCTCTGGGAGAAACTGTGGGCCAAATGGCTGCCACCTCCTCTCCCCTTGCCCCCGGGCTGAGGCTGGGAGAGACCTGTTAAGTTGCTATCCAAAAGCTTCCTTAGGTGTCTCCACCCAGAAGCCCTTGCCTGGCAAACCGGCTGGGCTGCTTTGACTCAGCCACCCACTCCTGGGAATGAAGGAAAAAACAAATTGAACATGTTTCTGGGGAGCCCTGGTCCCAGTTCTTAGCAGAGAAGCCAGCTCGATCCAGAACAGCTTTTAAGTTTTTGACTAAGGCAAGCTAGGAGAAGAATTGTCTCCTCCCAGGTAGCCAGATCTAAGATAAGGACACCTGTCTCCTTAGGCAGAATGACAAAGTCATGCCATTCCTCACTACGCCAGTCCTTCTTCCGTCTGTTCCCTTGGAAATGGCAACCAGACCTTGGGCCCCTGGCACCTCTTCTCTCTCACTCCAGGAACAATGAGACTAAGATCCACACCAAGCTGCTTTCACTTTATTCTTCTATTTATACATTCTCCTGCTCTCAGATGTGAAGGCAGACCATGATGTAAGCTCAGCAGTCCTGCTCAGAGCCTTTCTAGGTTCTATCAGTTTCCCTTTCCCCATCTCCCACCCTCATCCACCCCAACTCAGTCAGTCCCTCTGTCCAGTTGTTGTTCTCGGAGATAAGAGAGCAGAAGCAGAGAAATAAGACTTGAGTTGACTATCCCCATGCGCCTGCCCCCAACGACAAGACAGCAGTCCTGGAGAGACTGGACGGAGATTCTAATGAGGGACGGAAGCCTCCTTCCAAGGCACAGGGACCACCTTCTCAACGTGGCCACTGGTTGGTTCAGATCTGGGTGCTGTGCTGGCCCGAAGCTGGGGGCTGCAGTGCCTCTAACCGACTGAGGAGGACAGAAATGGGAGGGCGCTGCTGGGGGTCTACAGTCATCATTGAGGTGAGCAGCTGCCGCAAGGCTGAAGAATGCCTGTGGAAGGAGGCGGGCAGGGTGATCAGAGGGTTCCTATTCCCCGTGCTAAGGTTCCAACTCCGCTAACGTCAGGGAGGAGTATGAAATGGTGGGTGCCCCCTCTATTGCTCACCTGGGGCTCTGCGGGATGCTGAGTTGGTTCTGCACAGCAAGGGCCACACTGTCACCCTTCTGGAACACCATGTCATATGGGCCTTCCCCAAACATCATGGCATATAGCACGCAGCCTAAGGACTGAGCATAACTTGGTTATTCCTTGACAGGCGACCAATGGAGGCGGTATCTCTCCTCTTAATTTTGTACTAAAAGGTGACTACATAAGCTAAAAAGAATATGCTGACCTCAGCCACACGACACCACCAGGGTCCAGAGAAACCACCCGTTAGCTGGAGGCCTCTGCACCCCGTGCCTAGCCACTGCCTTCAGCCCTGACACTTCGCTGTGCTCGCTCTGTTCAAAGGGCAGGATTATACCACTTCCTGAGCAGCTGAGTACAGTGTCAGCGACAGTTCCCAGGAAGGAAGTCGAGGGGGATGGGGACATACACGGTTCCTGGGGCCCCACGCACTCGAACCCAAAGCCCTGCCCCCCTGCCGCGCAGCAGGGACAGAGTAGCACTCCTCCCCACCCCTGTGCCCAGCCACACGCTCCTCACCCAGACGTCAGTCCGCTCGTCGATGACACAGTGGCTCTGCACGGAGAAGAGCTCCGGGGCCCGGTAGGAGATGGTGCATCGCTGGGCTGCCCAGTCCTGGAACAGTTCAAACAAGGGGCACAGGTCACAGTCATGTGACCAAATTGGGGGATGCAAGAGAAAAGGTGGAGGATGGGGAACAGGAGGGCAAAGGAACCTGGCCACTCTTACCTGCAGGGCCAGAGCCTGGCGGGAGCCCTCCACATGGATGCAAGCTTGATTCATGGAACCCAAGTCCATTAAAACCGGCTGCCCCTCATCTCCAAGCAAGATATTAGTGGGCTTCAGGTCCCTGTAGGGAAGTGGAAATGGCCCATGAGCATCCCTGGATCGGGAGGCTAGAATCCCTGGGGGCAAAAGAATCATGGGGTCTGTTCCTTGGGAGGAGGGCAGAGACCTCTCATTCCTTTTGGTAAGGTTCTTCCTTTCTGCCCCATAAACACACAGGGCCCTCCCACTGACCTGTGGGCAAAACCTCTGGCATGAATGGCCTCAAGGCCTCTGCAGATACCCAGCAGCAGCTGAAGGATTTGATCTTCAGTCAAGAAGTTGCCTTTGTCCTTCAGCCTTTCTATCTCGTTCCACAGCGTACCCCTCTGCAACACAAGTTTCCCCATAGTTGGACATGTTTTCTGAGCCTCTGCTCCCTCAGCCTGACCCCTTCCCTGTGTCAGAGCCTAGCAACTCTTTCACCACACACACTACACACCTCACAGTCCCACTAGACCCCAAATCTGAAGCAGTTAACCCCAGGACATGGTCTCTGCTTCCTAACATGCTTGGCTACTCACACAGCCCTCGGTAGATGACTCTGTTGCAAGCCCCTCCATTGCCAGGAGACTTTCTGACCTTGAAGAAGGGCAGCAGCAACCAGGCCTCATGTTTAGTGCCCCGCTCCCTCAGACAAGAAGCCACAAGGCGAAGGATGTTGGGGTGACGGAAGAGGCGATGCATGTCTGCTTCTCGTTGGGCCTCCTCCCGATCCTGCTGCTCGTGACACAGGATCCGCTTCAGGGCGTAGAAGTGTCCATCATGTAAGCCCTCCACTAGGTCCACATAGCTGAACCCACTGTGGGCCAAAGGGGTCAGTGAAGGACCACAGTCATCTCCCATACGGCTTGGACCCAGAGGAACTCCCTGGGGAGAAGGGGAGGGGGCTATCTTTCCCAGTTAGCAGAAACCCTCCCAAGATGTGGCTTCAAGAGAAGTCTGAAGATTTTACACTTTGGGCTCAAGAGTAGGAACACAGTAATCCCTGGAGGTACTTTGGTCACAATGCACTGCTCTGCACATGACAAATGCTCCATAAATATTACATGAGTAACAGTCAACATTTATCAAGTGCTGGGAGCCAGGCACTGGGTGAGATGTTTTATATGCATTATCACATTTAATCCTCACAACTCCATCAGCGACAAAAGACAATTATCTCCGTTAAGCAGATGAAGAAACCATGGCTTTTCAAGGTCACACAAGGTGGATCCAGGAGGCCTGGCTCCAGAATCCACTTTCTTGACTACCGTGTCACCAGGCTCTGTCAGGTGAGCTAAAGGATAGGTTAAGAGAATAAAACTTTTGTGCCCCTATCATGTGCAGACTGCTGTCCTTCAATCACCAGAACCCTGGGGACTAGCTAAGTGATTTCCAAACACTCACCCCTCCCCCAGTTTCTGGATGAAGAGGTAGCGCTTATTGTCAATGATGACAGTTCCCCGAGAGCAGACACACAGCGCGTGGCCCATAGTGTCTCAGTCATCCTCCTCAAGGGCGGTCTGAGGAGGCCGACAGCTTCGTCCAGGTTAAGTGGGCTCTTCCAGGCGATGCGCTGGGGGCCCAGCGGATCATGCTGGAAGGAAAAGAATAGCAGGGTCGTGGGTCAGGCACGATCCAGACGACCCCTGAAGTACCAAAGTGGAGAACTGGCGCCCGGGTCTCGGAACGTAGAGAAAACGGGCTTTGGCGACGCCAGCTCCAAGAAGGCTGGGGTCAGATGCCTTAAAGCCTCCGGCCACGCAGTGACTGCAAGGCCGCTTCCTCCAACCCAGCCCACCTTTGAGCGGCCCCCGCTCCCACGGCCATCGGGGCGCCACGGCAGGGCAGAGGGGTAGTTCGTCGGGGTGCGAGGTCCGGGCCCACCCCCGGCAGAGCCCACCCCCGGCAGAGCCCACCCCCGGCAGAGCCCACCCCCGGGAAGAGCCCACCCCCAGCCTGGGCGCGCAGAGCCCGGGGCGGGGGGGGGGAGGGCCAGCCCGGACTCCCCACTGACCTGGCTCGGGCTGGAGAGAAGCGCCGGGGACCGGAAGAAGTGCATACGTCATCAGGCCGCGCCGGCGTAACGGCC